TGTAAGGTCCGAACAGAGGAGAGGAAAACCATGTCAACCGCTTTGAGTCCCCCTTCGAGGGAAAGGCGGCTCTTATAATGAAGTAAATAAATAGTGTAGAATTGCAACAGAGAGAAGTAGATTCTGTGTAACTGCTGATAAATGGGGGACCTATATCTTGTGTCTGTGTGGTTAGGAGGATATGCTTTAGAAAAAACAAACCCGTAGAATTGCAACAGAGAGAAGTAGATTCTGCGTAACTGCTGGTAAATGGGGGGCCTATATCTTGTGTCTGTGTGGTTAGGAAGCTATGCTTTAAAAAAAAACAAACCTGTGTCTGAGGGAACCCCACTACACATTATATTTCAGAGCTACCAACATAAAATATATAGGTAGACAAACTCCTATTCAGAGGTAGTTGGTTGTTTTTTTACCCATGTGCAGTTGTATAAAACGAAAGGATTAAAAATATACCAGGCCTCTGGTCTTGACAATGCATGGCACTGTTTCTCCTGAGGTGTTTGTGTAATGCTTTAGTCAAGTTCCAGCACCTGTTTGTTTGCTGTTCCTCAGAGACAAACGGGCAATGTGCTTTCTGCAACACTACAGTGCCAAAGCTTTTCACCCTTATTCATTCATGCTTTCTTAACTCTGAAACAACCTGGACAGTCATTTTTGCTAAAAGTGTATTTTCTCTCATATGTCTGTACTAGAACCAGGAAACTAATGGACAATGATAAACTGTCATAACAGTGTTTTTGCCTTCTGCTTTGTGTAAATGAAATCATACAAACAGATTGCTGGTTATTGCCAGGAATCTTAACCACAGTTTAATCCTTGTGAAGAATTCTAGTTAGGAAATAACTTCTTTGTTAAGGCATCTGCATTCAGCTTACTGGAGTCCGGGCAGGACGAGTGCAAGACCAACAGTTGACCAGATGGTTTGTTTTCACTCATCCACATTGGAGTTCTCTGGACACTCCCAATAGGGTTGCCAAGTTTTACCTTCCTCTGCAGCGGGGGACTCCTGGGCCGATCACAGAGCACGCACGCTATGCGCGCCACATCCACGTCACCAGGAAGTGACGTGATGACGCCGGGCACACTGGGGGCGGGGCCACAACCATCCGAGGGAAAACCATAGAGTTTTCCCTCAGATGACTGTGGCCCTGCCCCCAGCATGCCCAGCGTCATCATGTCACTTCCTGGTGACGTGCACGTTGGGGCGGGGTTCCCCCCGGGGCCCGATCCGCCGGCGGCGGGGAACGGGCCTCTGGGGCAGGGATTTCCCCGCCCCCCAGGGGGACTTGGCAATCCTAACTCCCATCCCCATGACATACAGTACCATCTCCACTCTTCTGTGGTGATCTTTGTTTTACACTGCAGGAGTCAAGCTTTTCAACATTATTACCCATATTTTCCCCAAAAGAAAATGAACTTGAATGTAAGATGACTCCTGTTAAAAAGGGTTATACACATAAGGGGGTTTTATTACTATACATAACTGTAACTTTCATGCATATTTAATAGGGCCTTCTATTCTTGATGGCACATGTTGGGAAAAGAAAAAACCCTGTTCTCCCTTTTCAGTTGAATGGGGCACATAAACCACTTTATCCTTCTTACCATTAATAAAATTCTTTGTAATATAACCTGCACTACCTTGTGAGTTTATGGATGTCTATTGCTTTTTTTCTTGGTAAGAGGAACATGGGTAATCTGGAAAAGATATTATGGAAGCACTGCTTTCCTTTAAAAGGCTAATACATTTGTGATGTGTTTTCCTGAACTCAGCTCAAGAGGGGAGGGGAGGTTTAAACGCTCCAACTGTTATCCACAACAGGCTACTGTTGCTGTTGTCAAGCTCATGAGAGTACAGAACTCAGTACTAAAGATAATTCAAAGTTACTCTCCCCTTGTAAAATAGAGTTCCTGTCTATAGTTTCCTATAAACATTTTCCTCCTTTAATATATCATAGTCTTACGTCTCTCACATTTTATAGGGGGAGAGACTAATACGACTGATTTAGGCTGGCTTCCTCCTCTCTCCCAATTTTACTGTCCACTGCCACACTTGCATTAGTACAATAGCAGTAGCCGAGGAGTCTCTGTAAAAGGTTTGGGGGCAGTAGGGTTGCCATATAACTACTGGGGGTGGGAGAGATCCTGCCCCAGCAGGGCCTTCCTACCACCACTCCACTGGGCATTTCGAGAAAATAAGGGGGAAATGGGGAAGGGGGTAGATATTAGCATCCTGGTGCACTGGTGTCACTTCTGGTGCAACCAGAATTAATGTCAGGATGTCACCAATAACGTTTTGCTCTTTTTCCTGAGACTCATTATATGTAACACCTATCACCAGTGAGGCCCCACTTCAGGAGGTGAGTCTCTTGCTGGTAGGAAGGTTGGGTGGTGGTCGCTGCCATCATCCTTGTCCCTAAGCTAGGGTTGCCAACTCCCCGATAGGGGCAGGGGGGTTCCCCGGTTTTGGGGGGCCCAATCTGCCACCAGCCAGCTGGCTGGTAGGGAAGCCCAACCCCTGAAGAGTCCTGGCACGCCCAACGTGCCTGGCATGATGATGTCACCCAGAGATTATGTCATTGCACGAGGCGTGTCGTTCAGGGGATGCTCTAGTATTTGGGTAAAAACTCTATGGTGACTATAGAGTTTTTACATGAATACTAGAGCATCCCCTGAACAACATGCCCAGTGCGATGATGTCACTTCAAGAAGAGTCCCAGAGCCAGCTGGAGCCCCCCACCAGGATGAAGGTAAGCAGGGCTTTTTTTGTAGAAAAAGCCCAGCAGGAACTCATTAGCATAATAGGTCACACCCAACAGCAGAAACTCATTAGCATATTAGGCCACACCCCTGACAGCACAGCTCATTAGCGTATTAGGCCACACACCCCATGTTCACAGAAGTGTGGTCATCCAGACACACCCACCTTTTGCTTCTTATTCTTATTTGTTGTCCAAACCCAGGGCTTTTTTGTAGCAGGAACTCCTTTGCATGTTAGGCCACACACCCCTAATGTAGCAAATCCTAATGAGTTTCTACTGTTGGGTGTGGCCTATTATACTAATGCATATCCTGCTGGGTGTGGCCAACTCAGGAGCCAGCCAGAACTCCGTTCCTGTGCGTTCCTGCCCAAAAATAGCCCTGAAGGTAAGATCTGGCAACTCTCCCCTAAGCTCTTCCTCCTCGCTCCCATTCTCTATGATGCAAGTATATTCAGTATTGTGAGGCAATACATGATTTATTCTGTGGCTAGAGGGGTTTGCAATGACTGTTATCTTCTTATCAAATGGATGGGTCTTTACAATTCTTAAATTGCATAAATGCCCTGAGAGAAGAAAATTGCTAGTTTTTTTCTGATACTAACTTAAACTTCCTTTATGTTAAACGATTTTTAAAAAAAATAATTGGAATTCAATGTTAAAAATTACTTCTGTGCTTTGATTTCATATGAAGCACTGTGATTCTTGTCCAGGCACTCTGAGAGGTTTTTGCATGTGTATTCTACCAAAACCAGGGGCTTGCACTCAGGTATACTGGGTGGGATCGAACAGTTCTGATAAGTGAGGATCGAGGCCAAGGCCAATCGGGGGGGGGGGGCAGCAGGAGACCAATTTGGGGACATCCTTCCCTGGTTCAAATGTCTTTATTATGCCTTCCCTGATTACCTGTAGTTATTCCTAACAATGTCCTGTTCTGGTTAACCAACGCTTTGAAATAAACCTTACTTGCTTTGCAACGTGGAGTTGTTTTTTATGCTTGGGATCCAACAACAGGGAACTCAAAAGGGGAGCTCAAATGTAGACACTTGATAATTTTCTAGTTGTTTAATAAATCTCACAGCTTGTTCTTCCATGCATCATTTAAATGGTTTAAGTGGCCTGGGCCTCTCTAGACCTCTGAGAAGGCCTGATGAGGAATCTTGTGCTGGTGGAAGGACTCCATCCTGTAGCGACGGGCTCCAATCTGGAATGTCCCCAGGTGTTTTAAGGCTCAGCCAATCTATGCTGTGCATAATACATTTGAACTAACAGTGGGATTCAGTTTTTATAGTACGTTAACAATTGCATGGCATTCACTTTGACTGCCCTTTTGGTTATCTGTTTTACATCTGTATGCAACAAACTTGCGTGTTATTTTTTTTCCTTCAGTGGGTTTTGTTTAACCATTGATAGTCTTCACGGGCTAGCACTGCAAAAAGAAACAAAAGATTCAACCAAAAATAGCTCCAGAATGCATTTGCTTCCAAGTGAAGAAATCAAGCCGAAAAACAAGTCTTCCGAAACCCATTAAAGTTGAGAGATTCTATTCCTAAATTCAGACTCTGGAATCTGACCCTGAGAAGCTGCTGTTGAAAGTTTATCTGTTGGCTGAAAGAACTGTTGTCTTGTGTAACAGTTCAAAAGGCTGCAACTTAATTTTCCTTTTGATCTGGGATACCAAAAGATAACAAACTGTCCCATAACAGTGGCTGCTATTCCAGCCAAGGCTCAGGTGAGATGGAATATAAGGCTGTGGGAATTTATCCTTCATGTACTTAGGAAGCTTCAGGGTAAATTCAAACTAGCCTAAGCAGCTTGTGCCATATGAGACTGCAAGAAGTGGGATGTCATGCATTTGAATACTTTCCTCTGTATAAAACTCCCTACTCACACAATACTAGTATGTCGAGGAATAAGCTAAATTCTGACTTTCTCCCCGACATGATAATTTTCCGCTTATAGGAATTTTTTTTCATGATGTGGGGCATCAGTGTGCATCCTTTCCCTGCAGTCTTAAATGTTAAAGGGCGATTCTGCATTGGCTTTTCTCTCTGTTGTTCTACAAAACCCACGTTGGAACAGAAATTCCCCTCTACGTTGCATGCTGCTTTCACTTCCTTTGATCATCAGATTTTGTGGTACCCTCTACACTGCATGCTGCTTTCGCTTTCTTTGATCATTGGGTTTTATGGTACCTTCTGCATACATTTATGGCCATTCAGGGGTGACTTTGCAGTCAGTATGGCGTTGCTCCAAGGTATCTGAATGCGGTTTTGACCTGCACCTTTTCCTCCCAGTTGAGAAAATGTGGAGCGAATGTTAGATGCAGAATTGCCCATAGTCTAGGAAGAACTATACTGTGTGCAAGTTATACATCAGCTTATAGGAGAGTGAGATATGTAGAAGAAGTCAGGAATGTAAATCTGACAATGGGATGGGTAACTTTCACATTAGCCTATCATTTTATACCTATTAACTGTTCTTGGGCCAGGGGGGGTGGGTGGTGATGATGTATTACCTGTCAAGAAAGTATATCATCTTTTGTGAAGTGCTAAGAGAGATGACTGAATTTGAACAACTGATTACAAAACAAAAAGGTAATTTATTACATTGGATATGTAAGTTATTACTTCAGTTAGAAACAGAAAAAGAACAAGTAGAAAAATGCATGATTAAATGGATGCAGAATTTCAGGGAGCAGACATGCATGCACCACGACATGCATCAATGGGAACGTTATGAGGAAAAGAACGTAAGTTTGCAGCCAGTCAGGCACCAAGAGAAAAATGGTGCAAAATATTTTTCAGATGGTATATTACTCAAAAGGATATCAAGAAAGTAGACAAAAATTACAAAGGAAAATGCTGAACTTGTAAAAAAACAGAAAGATATCGGAAATAAATACATAGAAAAATGCATAATATATTAAAATTCAAATTTCCTATGAAAGCGAAGAATATGTTATTAGGAATATTGTCTAACAAACTACCAAAAGTTTTGGAAGAGATATTTAAATATATGGTGACAGTGGCTAGAATTATTTATGCAGCAAAATGGAAATCAGATGTCTGTCCAAACTTAGAAGAATGGGAAAACAAAGTTGCTGACTATGTGATAATGGCAAAATTAACAACTTATTTGAGAAACAGATCCATCTCAAAATCTGAAGAGAAATGTGGTGTCTATTATGCAAGCAGGAGACAAACTTGGAATAAGAAATTCTAAAAATGGTCTATAAATGTATTGTAAGGCATATAAATGTAGTATAATGCAGAAAAAGGAAAACAAGTCTTGAATATAAATATATGTGGATTTTTGAATAAAATATTTCTTATGTTTTATTTTTTATTGCAAGATAGATGCATCTGTGTTAATTAGGCTTGCCAGTCCCCAGGTGGGGGGGGGGAATCCCCCACTTTTGCAGGCTCCTGCCAGCTGGCTGGGGGGGGAACCCCACCCCCAAACAGACCTCCCGGCACAATGTCAGTGATGTGATGATGTCACTTCCAGAAGTGATGTCATCACGTCAGTGACATCGGGAGCGACACTCTACTTTTTGGGCAAAACTCTATGGTTTGTATCCAGTTTTACCATAGAGTTTTGCCCAAAAAGCTGAGTGTCACCCTGATGTCGCTGGCATAATGACATCACTTCTGAAAGTACCATTATCACATTGGCGCTGTCCCTGCCCACCCCCAGAGCACCACCTAAATCCCCCCACCAGTATGAGGTAGGCACCTGGCAACCCTAGTCTTAATCCAGTAACTGACTGTGCATTAGTTTATGTTTCATGTTTCAGTGATTGTCCTTTGTCAGCTAGATTTTTAAAAATCTCATCTCCCTGATCTTGAAATTTATCTTTTACAAAGCAACCAATTTGTGGGTTCTTTTAAGCATAAAGTTGGGGCTACAATTTCATCCTTGTATATGACAACTTAATATCTCTAGGATAGGTCTGAGTCACATTAAAATGTTTATTGTTTATTAAGAGGAGGCTTAAATTTATAATGGTTTAATTGCAACAATTGTATCATTCATTCTTTTTCTGGGATCCATTTTATCCTGGCATAGAACAAGTCTCTAATAATAATGGTTTTTAAACATTAAAGTGCAATGTGACATAATTTTTTCCCCAATATCTAATTTCTCTATTTCGGACCTTTCTGTGTTATCTCTCAAGACAAAGCTCCCAAGCAGCCTATATTAATAGCATTGAAAGGGAAGGGGGAAACTTCTTGGCTACCCAAGCACTACAGGAGGTTTCAAAATAAAAGATTCTTTAAAAACCTTAATCCAATACTAAGGGGTGGTTTTTTCTTCCATCTTTTTCTTTTGACTATTCTACATTTATACTGGCTCCAGAGGTGTACAGATATGAGTTAAATGGAAAACTGAAGGGCTGTGTTGGGGAACTTTTCTTTTACAGTGGATAGCTATTACAGATCAGCAATGTATATCTGTACACACACATGAGTGGAGCTGAATCAACTGCATAGGCAACCTGACACAATTTTAATGCCATAAACTCAATGTGTCATGATTTTCATTTAAAGAGGAAGAAGAGATTGGATTTATACCCCACCCTTCACTACCCAAAGGAGTCTCAGAGTATCTTACAATCTCCTTTCCCTTCCCCTCCCCACGACAGACACCCTGTAAGGTAGGTGGGGCTGAGAGAGCTCTGAGAGAACAGCTCTGAAAGAATTTATGGCTGACCCAAGGTCACACCAGCAGCTGCATGTGCAGGAGTGAGGAATCAAACCTGGTTCTCTCAGATTAGAGTCCAGGTTCCTAACCACTACACCAAGCTGGCTCTCTTTATACAGAATGGTCATTGTTGTTCTCTGCTACCATTAGATTTTGTCAGAAAACCAGGGCAATCTCTGAAATCCTGTTGCCTTGGCACAGCAATCACTCGAGTGAAATGACCTTCTGGGAAATGAAGAACCTTTCTGCGTTTTTGCTGCAGAAAGATTGAGATTTCATTTTAGTCTGTAATGCAAACATCACACAGTAAAAATGGCTTTCGGAAGCTTGTTTGTGAACATGAAAAGTATTAGTATAAAAGGGTATTTCAGCTGTACTAAAATTTCAGAAAGACGGATTGGTGGAAGGAACTCATCAACATCCCATTGGCTGTGGTCACAAACTTTGGGGAAGGGTGGCTTGTACAGGCACTGTTTACTATATCCCAGGTCAACAAACCCAGACAGACCTAGACAGATTACTTTGTCATATTTTATTAATTAATTAATTAATTTTTATTTATTTAATTTGTACCCCACCCTCACCGCAAAGCAGGTTCAGGGCGGCTAATGGTGTGCTAATTATATGCAAATCAATCCCATTAATGAGCATTTTTATGCCTAGTTTATTTTTCCTGATCCTTACCAAGATGGGGTCAGAGAAATGCTCTTTCTATCGAGGTGCATCAGGCTCACCGTACTGCTGCTATTTCTTTTCTTTTGCTTCAGTGTGAAAATTTGCCTTTTTCGGGATGCTTTTCCAGTTATAAAAAACTACAGAGTTTATAATGATAGGTTTTCCATCTGGCTGTTTTATTACTATTTACAGTGCAAGTCGGTTCTCCTAGGAGTCTAGCCTTAGTTCTGTAGAAACCTTAGACTGACTTAGGGCTACGAAAAGTAAATAAAGCTATTGTGTCTAGTGCAGGAGAAAGAATTATTCAGAATTCCTTTGAATATTAGAGGAAATTGTCACATCTGGGAAAGTGGTTGTGTGTTGATTAGGAATGAACTCTTATTCTCTCTCTTCATGTATTACCTCCATAATAGTTCACACCTGCTTCATGGTTTAAGCCGTAATTCTGAAACAGTTAAATGACTGGCCTTCCTCTGAGGGATGAGTGTGGCACAGTGTTTTGAGAGCTGAACTAGAAACACTCATACGTAGATCCTCACTCTACCATAAAACTCACTGGTGGTCTTGAGGGCAGTCACGCTCCTTCAGCCTAACCTATCATACAGGCTGACTGTGAAGATGAAATAGAGAAAAGCCAAGTATGCCTCCCTGAATTCCTTGAAGGAGCAGTGGGACAAAAAACAGGACAGACAGATAGAACAATCATACCGATAATTCTCTTTTGAGACTCTATAACAACCAAACATAAACGATGGAATATTGATGGCACTCCTTATCTGGTTGTATTTTGTTGCTTTAAAATGCAGCTAGCATGTTTGGTATCTTTTTGCAAATGACTTGTCTCTTACTAGAGGTCCGTCAGTGGCTATTAGCCACAAAGTATAGATAGGAACTCTCAGTCTGGGGCAAGTGATGCTCTGTATTCTTGGTGCTTGGGGAGGGGGGCAACAGTGGGAGGGCTTCTAGTGTCCTGGCCCCACTGCTAGACCTCCTGAAGGCACCTGGTATTTTTGGCCACTGTGTGACAGAGTGTTGGACTAGATGGGCCATTGGCCTAATCCAACATTGGCTTTTCTTATGTTCTTATACCTTGTTTTTTTATATTAAGCTTTCCAGAGTCTTCCTTCCCCCACTCTTTCTTATGAGCCAGTGAATCTTTTTTAGCATAAGACAACTTGACATGATCAAGAATATAGAAGCAGACCAATAGGTTAGTGAGAGCCTGTTAAGGACACAATCGTACATTGTACATTTTAACCCTATCTCGACCCATCCACACATGTTTTCAAGAGAGCCAGAAAAACTGTAAAAAGGTTCAGTAAGAAAAAGATTTGAATTTCAGAATATTGCAGTGAAAGCTTATATGTACATTTATGTCATACTGTTTCATTTGAAGTGCCTATTTTGAGAGATAGTGGGTAGCTTGAAAAGCTGTTAATATGCTGTATTCTGTCATCTCCCTTGAGTGCTGAGAGATAATGAAACTTGATAGGTATATTTATATGGTTGCCAGCCTCCAGGAGAGGCCTGGAGATCTCCTGGTATCACAATTTATCTCCAGACAATAGAGAACAGTTCCCCTGGAGAAAATGGCCACTTTGGAGAGTGGACTCTGTGTTATTATACCTCAATGAGGTCTCTCTTCTCCCCAGGTTCCACCCCCAAAATTCCCAGGAATTTCCCAACACAGAGTTGGCAACCTATATGTTTATGACTTTTAGTTGAATGTTAAACAAAAAATTATCTTCAGTATCGTGTTTTAAGAGATGAGGCAAAAAAATGTGTCATGTATTCGGTTGGATCCAAACCTTCTCTCACATGACCTGGAGGTGTACTTCTGGCTATGTAGGTAGGAGGAAAGAGATCTGCAGTTGCTACAGACTCTCCATCTGTAGCCAATATGCTGTTCTCAATCATCAGAAGCACTTTTCGGGGCTACTGCAGAAAGGGAGAGACAGAAAAGCCATGTTACCTGAACAGAAGTCCTTTTGGATTCTGCAGTGCTCATATGTTACCTACGAACACACTAACCCACAACGGAACTTGAAGGCACGTGGAGAAAAGTATACTTTCTTGTCCCCTATTGCTCAGGTTGTTGTTGTTGTTCAGTCGCACAGTTGAGTCCGACTCTTCGCGACCCCGTGGACTAGCTCCCGCCAGGCCCTCCTGTCTTCCGCCATCCTCTGAAGTTTACTCAATTTCATGTTCGTTGCATCTATGACACTGTCTAACCATCTCATCCTTTGCTGTCCCCATCTTCTTTGACCTTCAATCTTTCCCAGCATCAGGGTCTTCTCCAGTGAGTGCTCCCTTCTCATTTGGTGGCCAAAGTATTTGAGCTTCAGTTTCATTATCTGGCCTTCCAGGGAACAGTCAGGGTTGATTTCTTTTAGGATTGACTGATTTCATCTTCTTGCAGTCCAAGGGACTCTCAAGAGTCTTCTCCAGCACCATAGTTCAAAAGAATCTATTCTTCGGCGCTCGGCCTTCCTTATAGTCCAACTCTCGCAGCCATACATGACTACTGGGAATACCATTGCTTGGACCATGCGTATTTTTGTTGGCAGGGTGATGTCTCTACTTTTTATCATGCTGTTTAGGTTCGCCATCGCTTTCCTCCCAAGGAGCAGGCGTCTTTTAATTTCATGGCTGCTGTCACAGTCTGCGGTGATCTGGGATCCCAGGAACGTGAAGTCTGTCACCACTTCCACGACTTCCCCTTCTATTTGCCAAGGAGTGATGGGGCCGGATGCCATGATCTTAGTTTTTTTGATGTTGAGCTTCAAGCCCACTTTTGCGCTCTCCTCTTTTACTCTGAGCAAGAGGCTCTTTAGGTCCTCTTCACTTTCTGCCATTAGAGTGGTATCGTCTGCATATCTGAGGTTGTTGATCTTTTCCCCAGCAATCTTAATTCCCGCTTGTGATTCATCCAGGCCAGCATTTCGCATGATGTACTCTGCATATATATTAAATAAGCAAGGTGACAGTATACATCCTTGTCGTACTCCTTTTCCTATGCTGAACCAATCAGTTGTTCCATATCCGGTTCTAACTGTCGCTTCTTGGCCCTTATACAGGTTTCTCAAGAGACATGTGAGGTGGTCTGGTACTCCCATCTCTTTAAGGACCTGCCATAGTTTGTTGTGATCCACACAGTCAAAGGCTTTAGCATAGTCAATGAAGCAGAAGTAGATATTTTTCTGGTACTCTCTTGCTTTCTCCATAATCCAGCGAATGTTGGCAATTTGATCTCTAGTTCCTCTACCTCTTCGAAACCCAGCTTGTACTTCTGGTAGTTCTCTATCCACGTACTGTTGAAGCCTAGCTTGTAGGATCTTGAGCATGACCTTGCTAGCGTGTGATATGAGTGCAATTGTGCGATAGTTTGAACATTCCTTGGCATTGCCCTTCTTTGGGATTGGAATGTATACTGACCTTTTCCAATCCTGTGGCCACTGTTGCGTTTTCCAAATTTGCTGGCAAATGGAGTGCAGCACTTTAACAGCATCATCTTCTAAGACTTTGAATAGCTCAGCTGGAATACCATCACCTCCACTAGCTTTGTTGTTAGCAATGCTTTCTAAGGCCCATTTAACTTCACATTCCAGGATGTCTGGCTCGAGGTCAGTGATTATACCGTCGTGGTTGTCAAGGACATCGAGGTCTTTCTTGTATAGTTCTTCTGTGTATTCTTGCCATCTTTTCCTAATCTCTTCTGCTTCTGTTAGGTCCCTACCGTTTTTGTCCTTTATCATGGCCAGCTTTGCATGGAACGCTCCCTTGATTTCTCCAACTTTCTTGAAGAGATCTCTAGTCCTTCCCATTCTATTGTTTTCTTCTATTACTTTGCACTGTTCATTCAGGAAGGCCTCCTTATCTCTCCTTGCTGTTCTCTGGAAATCTGCGTTCAGTTGGGTAAATCTTTCCTTTTCGCCTTTGCCTTTCGCTTTCCTTCTTTCCTCTGCTATTTGTAAAGCCTCATCAGAAAGCCACTTTGCTTTCTTACATTTCTTTTTCTTTGGGATGGTGGTGATTGCTGCCTCCTGTACGATGTCACGAACCTCTGTCCATAGTTCTTCAGGCACTCTATCTATCAAATCTAGACCCTTGAATCTATTCTTCACATCTACTGTATATTCATCAGGGATGCGATCTAGGTCAAACCTGAATGGCCTCGTGGTTTTCCCAATTTTCTTCAGTTTAAGTCTGAATTTTGCAATGAGTAGCTCATGATCTGAGCCACAGTCAGCTCCAGGTATTGTTTTTACTGATAGAGCTTCTCCATCTTTGACTGCAAATTATATAGTCAATCTGATTTCGGTGTTGCCCATCTGGTGATGTCCAGGTGTAGAGTCACCTCTTAGGTTGTTGGAAAAGGGTGTTCGCTATGACCTTTTCTTTATTCCTTTTAATATCTCAGGCTTTCCCAGTGGCAATTAAGGAGGTTCTTCTTCCTTGTAAAATTCTAGGGTGAATCAGATATTCTTATTTTTACTGTCTGTACCAGAGATGAGCGTATAACAGTATTTTTCTTAGCTGCTCTGTGCAATGTTGACTATAATATACAAGGGTTTGGCTTTGCTTGCTAGAAAAGTTTTGGGGATTTGCTGGGTTCAGACACTGTTTTTAAAGTACTAAAAATACATGTTTAACTGCCAGGGTACAGCCAGAAACAATTTTATTCAGCCCCTGAGGACACAACTGAATTTTAAGCAGGACATGATGATATACATTCTGCCCAGTTTTATTTGCAAGAAAAATAAAGACCATTTCAAAAGCTGTGTGACCAAGTGTTCATACTTGATTTCATATGATTTTTCTTTTGCAGTATCATGGATAGAGTACTATCAAGAACCTATCTCTTGAGGGTCTTCTCGATCCTCCTTGCTGTAAACAGTGCTTAATCTTTACCACCTGTGCTCAGTAAAATGCAGTTGTTCTGGACTTTGGACCACTATGTGAAGAACTGACGGCCCCAAGGATACATAAATTGGCCATCTATGCCCTAAGCTATTACACAGTTTTCCTTTGGCTCATCTTCCTTTTCCTCTTATTTTTTTCTCCCCAACCAAGTGAAAGTATTTAGCCTTACCCAACAATGTATTTCTGTGTTGTTTCAGGCTGTGAGACTTCACTGGATCTGACATATCAGAAGGTCACGGTTGCAGCGAATAAGATCTTTAAAACCCTCAGGGACATTTCAAGAGCTCGAGCACAGATGAAACAGTTTAATTCTGTATATATCCCAGGAAGCAATACCTTACAGGCAAGTTGAGACATGCTTTTTAATCAGTGTTACCATACACAGTACGCAGCCAAAACTACCTTTATCCACATGTGACTGATTTTACGGTGTGTATGTGTGTGCGCAAAATGTGTTCTATTTCTCTGTCCTGATTAAAAGCAAGCTTGTGGAGTAGGCCTTGCCTCTGAGAACTTCCAAATGTGCTTTCTCCTGTTGAACGATATAAAATGGCCGTCCATCTAGAATTGTGTCTAGATAAGCTCCACATAGATTTCTGGAAGTCTGCATACTGTTCCCGTGAAGACCATCTGCAGACCAATAAAGCAACACAAAAAGCAAAACAATCTAATTCTGCAGAATAATCCATAAAGACCTTCTCATTTAGCACTCTTGTTACCCATGGTATCCAGCCACTATCCTGGAAAACTAACGAACGGTGTCATGAAGCTAGGAAATGGGGCTGTTTGCTCCACATCCATCATGCTACCAATGAGCATGAAAATTTCGTCTTGATTATTACGTCTCATAGCAATGAATATCTCTAATCCTTTGAAAAGCCATGTATGCTAGCTATTATCATAGCATCCTAAAGGACTATAAGAAACGGAAGATAGAGGTTATTCAGTGTGGTATGTCCTCTGCCAGTGCTAATCTCTGTGGCAAAATTTGGGGTTCAATGAGCCTGGGCCTTTCTCCAGGAATAAAGCATTAAACAGTGGTAGAACGGCTGGCTCATACAAGTCGGTGCCGCGATGGGGGTGGAAATGTTCACGCTTCCCCTATGCCATTGCCATCACTGAAAATAATACATACACCTACAGCCTATGGGCTGCTTTGATCCCTGCTAAGGAAAAAAGACAGGAGAATATGGGTACCTACCTGTCTTTTTCCCTAACAAAACTCCAGGCAAACAGGAGTAGGGGCATTTTCAGTCTGGGAAATGGTTTGCAGGGAGGAGGGGAATACTGCATTTGGAGTTGCAATCATGGAACTCCAGCAGCAATAGAGGCACCACAAAGTTTCTTGACCTGAGACCTCAGCCAAAGGCTTTGAGGCCTTAACCAAAAAGCTCTAGGTCCTTGAACACTCAGATCCATGGTTCTGTAGCTAAGTTACGGTATCCTAAGTCCACTGTCCTTACTTAGTACCCCCCTCCTTAATATGTCCATCTCCATTATAGCTGTAGAGATTCTCCCGTAGGTGGACAGGGACCAGATGTCCATACTGTGCTATACACAGACCTGTCCTATCCTCCTCCTATCCTCCCCTTTAACAAAGATGAAAGGACAAAGAGCTACAGATCCACAAAGATGAGGGAATGTTATGTTTCCTGAACTTCTCCTCTTCCATCAGGAGGAACAGTTGGGATGGGGGCAGTCTGAGAGGTAGATGTGTGCTCTTTTCTTTTAAAAGCTGCTGCATCCAGTTTAAACATGACTGTAACTGAATGACGCATTTTGCTCACTGTGGCAACAGAAGGGTAATCTTTAGTGAAATTAATAAAGTGACTCATATATGATTGTAATTAAACTTCTTCCAAAACTTCAGCATTTCGGTAAGATGAATGACATTTGGATTGGCAATCTCTAGCAATAACTCATGTGTGAATTTTGTACAATATTCACAAGCACCTGCAAATGTTGTGCAAAATTTCAATTTTCGCATGTTTCGGTTTGCCTTCCTTTGAGCTTCTGCTGCACAGGGAGAAGAGGCAGAGAAAGAGTTTTTATGATCTTCCAATGCAGGAAAGATGGAAATGGCATGCCTTACTCTAGCCAGGAGCCCCGTCTAGCATAAGCAGACATTTCCATTCGGTCTGTACTAATGAACCTGTAAATTCAGCAGAGTAGCTGGCAGGCCAGACTGAAGCTGAAGTTCAATTTTCTTGCAATTATATAGCTGTAAAGTTTCCCCTGTAATAAAATGGTATCATAACTCATGCTCCCAGCAGATTAGTACATATGATTAAACATGATCAAGCAGTGAGCGGGAGAACCTAAGGTTTCCCATGTCAAAAGTACCCTTAGATGTCTGTGCCACGTTCTACATGGCAAAAACTGACGTGACTAATTCTGGCAGTCGTAACTGACAAAATAACTGACAAAATAAGTTGTCTTTCATGTGTTTTATAACAGTTCTTTTATTTATATCGTTAGCTGCCCTGAGTACCACAAGACAGAAAGGTAGAGGAGGAGGAGGAGGAGAGGAGGAGATTGGATTTATACCTTGCCCTTCACTACCCAAAGGTGTCTCAGAGCGGCTTACAAACTCCTTTCCCTTCCCCTCCCCACAACAGACACCCTGTGAGGTGGGTGGGGCTGAGAGAGCTCTTGACAGAAACGGCCCTTTTTTCAAGAACAGCTCATATCAATGCTTTAAATAAATAAATTCCAAAATAAATTATCTGAAAAAATGCATTGCAAACCCCAGAAACACTGGAATAAGCCATAAGCCATATGCAATAAGAGTGTTTTTCTTATGAATTTAGCATCCGTTTATCTTCGGTGTCCTATTTATAGATGTGATGTCTTTAATGCATCAAATGGCCCAAAATAAATTATCTGAAAAAATGCATTGCAAACCCCAGAAACACTGGAATAAGCCATAAGCCATGTGCAATAAGAGTGTTTTTCGTATGAATTTAGCATCCGTTTATCTTCAGTGTCCTATCTATAGATGTGATGTCGTTAATGCATCAAATGGCACTGCAGGGTCAGAATTATTTAGTGGTCTCTAGACACCTATTAAACAATGTCCTTGTAAAATTCACCCATTTTAGGGTTGCCAGGTCCTTACTGACTGCCAGCACGTGGCTCCCAGCTCCATTCCTGGATCTTACGGAGCATGTGCAAAGCGCGCACACCACAATGACATCACCCGGAAGTGACATCATCACGTTGCCAATGTCAGGGGGTAACACTCTGGGTTTTGGGCAAAACTCTATAGTTTGAGGCGAATTTTACCATAGAGTTTTGCCAAAAAAAATAGAGCGTCACCACCTACCACCATAGATGATGTGATGACATCACTTCTGGGTGACGTCATTACGTTGCATTTGAGGGCATTTGCAGGTGGGGTTCCCCCCTCGCAGGCCAGCTGGCCAGCAGCAGGAAGGGGCTTGCAAAAGTAGGGGAACCCCTGCCTTGACTGGGGGCCTGGCAACCCTAACCCATTTTGAGAAAAGTAGAAATCCAGTGTGGGCATCTTTCTTATTTATTGAATGGTAACAATGAAAGCTGTTTTTCTTTTCCTTTTACTATGTAAAGGTGAGATCACATTTTGGATGATCCAGTTTTTGAAGCTGTTTCTGCACCTTTGGCTACATGCTTTTTGGTAGCACTTTAGCTGGCATTTTTTGCGTGTTTTCCAGACATTTTGTCAGCATTTCAGAGTTTCGTAGTCAACGTCCCATGATATAGTGTCATGAGTTTCTAGGAAATACCTGAAAAGGCCTTAGTTAGCCCTTCAGCAGTACTAATCTAGGAGATTTTTCTAACTAGTTATTACCATTATCAGATGTGCCCATAAAATGTCATGTTTATGTGCTTTTCCTTTCCTTTCAGTGCCCTTATGCTTTATGTAACTTTAACTTTAGGTAGCTTTAACAAAGAAGTTCTGCCGTCATATAGTACCTATTTCTTTATAAAACTTGAATAGCCAGTCAGTTTTGTAGACCAGCAATGGCTACTGGATGTGTCCTCTCTTTTCCCTCCCATGCCACACTTTTCACAGGCTGGAGCTTTGCTGGCTATCAGGCCTTCACCAAGTGCTTTGATCATGGAAGAAAATTGGTAGACACCTCATCCTCCCAATGCAAAATGAGAGGGTGCTCAGAGACACGTGTGGATACTCTTCTGTAGTATGGACGGGAGGAACAGAAAAGGGATCATACTACCAGTATTTCTGTGAGAAACAGTAGAAACAGGGATCATACTACCAGTATTTCTGTGAGAGGGCTGAAAGATGAAATGGCGTGTGGTACAACAGAGACCTTTTAGTACCATTCTTTTTTTAAAAGCATTCCTTTTTACCATCTTTTTTGCTCATTCTTGGCAAATTCCCCTCCTTCCTGCAGTCCAGGTCCCACATGGCTTTTGTCCATGCACATTCCATAAGTCACAGTACAACTTTTTTTGGTGGTCCAAAGAGACCCCCTCTTCCCTTTTTCACCAGTGCAAGAGCTGGTTGGATCAAAACCATAGTGCATTACGCTACAGTAGCTGGAGGAGATTTTGCCTACATATTAAAACTTAGGTAGAAACGTATCCAATGCATTTCTGTGGAGCATTTCCAGTAAAATGCCTGTGCATGTCTTGTTTTGATCCTTCCTCCTCTTAATGACTCATTTTTTAAAAAAACATTGTTTGTCTCTGGAAAATGTACGGTCGCTGTTTAAGTTACCAAGCATTTTTAGTGGGTTTTGTGTTGCGTGACTGGATGGCTCTCACGGTTGGGATTGGAATATCCTCCTACAACAAGAATTAGGTCCAACGTTTGCATGGCTGTTGCCTTAATTAAAATGTAAGAAGTGTGTCATAGGAAGGCTTGGATAAGACATCTACTTTTGTGGGGAGGGGTTAATGTACAGAGAAAAGATTTGTACTTGACATTATAAACTGCCGGACATGAAAAATTGTCTTTAATGGTTATAATTGCTTTAGAAAATCCATTTTTCCAGAGCTGTTCAATTTAAGTGGCTAGTTGCTTATTTCCCCCCCTTTATTGTACATAAAGTATGTGGCATTTCTGTCATTTCTGCAGCATGATTTCCTATCTGAGTTTTCTAAGAAAACTAGAGATGTGACATTCCTGGAATAATGAAGAAAGGAAGCATTGCCTCCTGCAGATTGAACAAGATAATTTTTGTAGACTGTAATGCTCACTGTGTCAATTATTATAGCTCATTTTTCTGTAGAAACAGTATTAAATGTGAAGAGCTTTGTAAACTGGAAAAGGCAGATGGTTCACTAAAAGTGTTCCTCTGAATGCTGAATGTCTTGTTTATTTTATTGTAATGACGCTATGTGATTAAAATCCTAGGTCTTGCTGTATCAGCAAATAAAGGTTTAAAATGGGTTGCCCTAACCATCTTACCAGCACTATACCAAAAAGAAAGCGCAACAGAAAAAAAACCCAACAGGTTATGCTAGTTTTCAGTCAATATGCTTACTTTGCTATCAGCGTACAGAACAGATATTTACAATCCGTTAACAAGAGTGTTCAGATAGCTGTGTGAATATACCGTGAGCAGTGTTCCCTCTAAGCTGAGTTGGTGTGAACTAGCTCACAGTCTTTTAGCCTCTGGCTCACAGATTTTTGTCTTAGCTCAGGAAGGATGGCTCCAAATCAAACTAATTTATGCAGTAGCCAAATCGCTCACTCACCACTTTAATGCCAGTAGCTCACAAAGTAGAATTTTTGCTCACAAGACTCCACAGCTTAGAGGGAACATTGACTGTGAGATGACTGCATTTAAGGAGGCTTTCTGCATAATAACCCAGTCCCTTTGGATCCTCTGCCCTTGGGTACAATGGCTACCTTCTGGAGTATGGACCCATTTCGGCTCTTATTGACTGCCCCAGAACAGTCCTGAGTCTCAGAGGACCAATTACACATGGGGGTGTGTGTGTATGACAAAGTCCCTTCTCAGCCACAGGAGGGAGAACTGGGTGAGTCATTTGATTTCAGCAAAGCCATGTCCTCCCTTGTTAGGGATGCCAGATTCCAGGTGGGAACTGGGGATCCTCCAGAATGACAGCTCAGCTCCAGACTACAGAGGTCAGTTCCCCTGGAGAAAATGGATGCTTTGGAAGGTGGAAAATATGGCACTCTACTCCACGGAGGTCCCTGTCCTCCCCAGGCTCCATCCCAAAATCTCCAGGAGTTTTCCAACCTGGAACTGGCAACCCTCCCCCCCCCCATTCCCTGCCGGTGGCCATGGGGGACCTAGCCACCCTACCTGCCATCCTTCCCTGTGTGTTAAGCAGCATGGTAGAGCAAGTGGCCTGTGGACAAAGCTTAGCGTAAACAAGTCATACCTAAGGTCCAATTTTAAAAAGTTTATTCTGAGCACAATAGAAATAGACAAATGGGATCTGGGGACAGGAATACAGAACTTAGAAACAGAATAAAAGAACAATTCCTAGTTATTCTAGAACTGCATTGTTTTCCCAGAAGTGATGTCATGCTGTCACAGATGGCCACCCCCATGCGCCCCCCCCCCGGTCTCCCATTGAGTACTAGACCATATCCTGCCCTCCCTCCTCGTGAGTTGGAGAAGCAGCATATACATTCCTGAAATAAGAAGATATCTGGGATGGTGTATGAGCATTCAGGTGTCCAGTGTTTCAAGTACCTTAAACCTGCGCAAACTCAAAAGTTCAGAGTTCCAGGAAAAACTGGCGAGGGAGCCAAGTGGAAATCCAGGCAATGATTCAGGCAGTAATCGAAAGGAAATCCAAAAGAGTAAAGCATGTGGAGCAAGGCTGGGTTTTATAAGTGACTCAGGAGGTGCCAGGGTGAGTTGAGGTGATGAAACATTTCTCTCATTATGGAGGGCAGAGAATAAAAGGGGGAAGTTTTGATTTTCCTGGGCTGGGGGAGAGGCAGGAGAAGTATAGTCAGATGTTCTGACTGGTGCAAGGGGGAACTTGAGTTAAGTGGGGGCAGCATGCCCAGAAGAGTATCTCATTTGAGAAGAATTTCCTAATAAGGGGGGGGGGTAGAGATGAGAAGGTGTCAGCTTTGGCAGTAATATTGTTCTAGAGTTCTACAAGATAAGAGGGGGGGAATGCTATTTCGCATGATAATGGTTTTTGCTAAAGGCAAAATCTGGTGCAGAGCTTTTGGGGACCTCTGCTTTTTTAAGAGAGAAATGTGGACAATCACATCCTGGTCTAGAAACAAATACTGAGAAAACAGTCGTGAGAGTCTAACCCACAAATCAAGATAGTCAACAAGACTTACAATGAAAATATTTTCTATACATTGTTGCCAACAAACACTATATAACAATAAACAAATTCCATCTCACGACTGTTTTCTCAGTATTTGTTTCTAGACTTCTGCTTTTTTGCTATTTTTCTTTCCTTTTTCAAAATTTACCCATGTTGAAATAGTGACATTTATGTTTTTAGGGAAGCCCAACAACTGTACATCCAGTTGTTGAATGAATACAGAGGCTGATACTTGGACCAGTTTAAGCAACCTCATTGGTAGAGCTTGAACAGTTTGCTCAGAAACAATAGCAGGGATGAAAGAGATTTAAATTCTTTTCAAGTCAAGAGTACACAGTATGAAAACAGGTCCAATGCCCACTGTCTCCCATACCCATAACAGATAGTATCTTGTTTGCACCAGTATCCTATCTCCTTGCAAATAATCTTCTGCAAACTGTCTGACTTTTTAAAATCTATCTCAGTCATAAATATATCCCAATGCGGTAAGTTGTGCTCCATAAAATTACTTGTAAACTTACTTTCAACAGGCTTCTTACAAACCATTGCTGAAACAAGTGATGGAGGAGATATATAATCCTGATCGACCTGACCCTATTGATATTGAGCATATGTCTTCTGGGCTCACCGACCTTCTGAAAACGGGATTCAGTATGTTTATGAAGGTAAAGCTACTGTCCAGTGTTTGTAATTACATTTTAAGAAAGTAAAACGTGCAGCTATTTTGGTAAGAAGAAACCAATTCATTTTACGTAGGATGTTTTTATCTCATAGCTCAAACTCAGCATTCTTAGATAATGTGTCAACAGGATCAACTTATAATACCTCTAGGTAATGAAAAAGAGAAAATCCCATACCATTTCTCTGCGCAAGCTTAGAGATATGAAGGCTGGGGGGAAACCCAGAGGACTTTTTGGTATCACTACTCCATACGTGAATTTTTGTGGGGGAGATGGGGAATTCACTCTTATGAAATAAACACACTTTTTAAAAATCTATTTATTTACTTTATCTGTTCACAAAATGTATAACTTGTTTTTCATAGATTGTCAAAGCAGTGTACAAACAAAAGCGAATAACATGAACAAAATTATTAAAATCAGTGTCAGATAAAACAAAACCGGAAAGGAAAGAAAAGAAAAAGGAAATACTACTTTAAACAGAGAGTGATTAAAATGTGGAATGTGCTGCCAGAGGATGTAGTGATGGCCATTGGAATAAACAGCTTTAAAGGGGGATTAAATAGATTCATGGAGGATAAGTCTATCAGTGGCTACTAGCCATGGTGACTGGGGAACTTCCAAGTTCAGAGGCACTAATCTCTGAATACCAGAGCCAGGCGGCAACAGCAGGAGAATAGGTGATCCCACAACAGCCTCTATGACCTGTTGTTGGCTGTCGAGAGGAACTGGTTGGCCACTGCGTGAGACAGGATGCTGGACTAGATGGACCACTGGTCCGATCCAGCAGGGCTCATCTTATCTTCTAAAATCAGAAGGACAGATGAAAATGAGGGCAATGATAGTGACCCAAGACCAAGTGAAACAAAATAGTCTTTGTACCAGCTGGATTCTGTAGGGTCATTAACACAGTTGTTCATTGCCATACTCTTCCGTTTATTGTAGATAAAAATATCAGCTTAAAGGATGGCATGCTAACTATGGCCTTTATGGATCTCAGAGCTACATTTGACTCTGCCTAGGCAGAGATTATGGGATAAGATGAAGAAATCATATATTGACAAGAGTCTCCTGTTTTAGATCCAACAATTATCTGATCACCCTACAGCTCAATAAGGCCCCGGTCACACAAGCGAGATAATCCGGGGGGGGGAGGGGGAGGCTTTTTGCTCTGGAGCGAAACGAAGCACGGTATCGCGATCAGACGTTTCCCCCCGATGCTTCTCGCACATGCCCCCAGCCACTATCACATGTTAGCCGAATTGCTTTTTTTATAGCAATTGGCAATTTATAAATGGGTCCTTGCCAACTATACCAAGGTCCTGTTCCCACCAAGGGTTACCAGTAAAGGAGTTCGAGGCTGGTGTTGTTAAAATAAATGTCTTTTACTTACGATAATAAATCTCATACAAACAATACTGATGCACTCACATCAAGTTCCTTAGAAATACAGTATTAAAATAAGCACGGTTGCATTAGCAGGTGGGGGTGATGATGGGTGATACTTATCTGTCTTCACAGCTTGGTTGTTCCAATGAAGAATGGATGGGAAGAAATAGAAATCTAGGGAGAATTCACACACAACTAGAACCAGTCAGAACGTGTGGGTGTCTTGACTGCAGATCAAGAGATCAAAGTAGAGGCAAGGGTTTGGGGATAGCAAGTGGGACTCAAGGGGAGTATAAAGCAGACAGGGGTTGTTGCGGGGGTTGCTAGCTAGGAAGGGCCAGGTGAATGGTCCTTACCTTTTATAGTGGATCCATTAGGTGGGAGGTAACTGTTCCAACCTGTGGACCCACCTACCTGTTAGTCTGTCCCAAAAACAATCCTATTGGTTGCCTATAGGAGTGGGAGGTTACCTATAAGGAGTGGTCAATATTGAAATCTAATACCTTACTCAAAGAAGGGCATCTGGGCAGGTGTGAAAACCTTGGCGTCAGGATGCTTCATTGTAGTGTAGATGAAGCTGGCCATTCTCTTTGTGAACCAAATGTCCATTTGGCAGAAAATACCAATGCAGGAACAAAGCAGTGATGTGTTGTATGTGACCACAAATGATTCTGCAGTGGGGGTTGTCTCTGCTCAAGTTGTTGTTTCTTACTGCTCACGATAATGGAGGTGTGTGCTTCTTCACCAGGCTGGTAACTGTGTAACTGAAACCTCATTTACGTGTAAGGCTTGTGCAAGTACCTTCTATGTGTTACATCACAACAGGTGACTTGAAATGTACAGTTCTCTGAGCCTATGTGTGTGTGTGTGTGTGCGTGCACAGTCCATTGTGTGTAGCAATAAATATAGTTCATAAATCAAATATCAAGTTCATTCTCAAACACACATGTCGACAATGAAGTGTGGCAAAGGGGGGGGGGAAGCGGCATGGCGTGATCACACACGCAGCGATCACAAGCTGCCGCTTCCCGACCTCACAGGCATTTTTTTTCCCAGCCGGAGGTCCCACCTGCGCATGACCACAGAAGTGAATCCATAGAACAGTGGGCATGCGCAGCTCCACGTTTGTGTGCATAATACGAAGGCTTAAACAAAACATCCGACGTGAGACGGGATGCAGACGGGCGCCAGATGCTATGGGATACCAGTGCTTCCGCAATCTGACGCCTGCCCGCGCCGCACGTTTTCTGGAAAATACTGCACCTTCCCTACTATCTTTTAACTCCGCTTCTTCAGCCAGGCGCCACGGGTTACCTACGGGTGCAGGACACTTGCCAGATGTTCACATGTGATCGCACCCGTAAAATCCGCACGGCAGCCATCCCTATCGTGCGGCTAATTCTCCATGTGACCGGGGCCTAAGATGTGGTCCATCTGATAAACTGACTAAGCTATTGTAGTGAGCAAAGGAGTGAAGCAAGGATGTATTCTTGCTCCTCTGTAATTTAATTGGTATATCAATGATCTAAGCTCCTATATTTCCAAAGAGGAATTCCATCTGCCTCATCCAGCTCAAGTCAAGCTGCCATGTCTTTTGTATGTGGATGATACAGCTCTCCTCTCAAGATCCGTGATTGGCCTTTGTAAACTTATAGGCTCCTTTTCAGAGTATTGTTCTAAAGAGGGCCTAACTATTAATGTTTCTAAGTCAAACGTCCTTCTCTTTATAAAAAATGACAGGCAAGGAAATATGTGGTCAGTAGCAGATCAGTATATGGAGCAAGTAGAGCTATCTAAGTATTTAGGAGTTCTATTTCAAGCAGATCTTTCTTGAAAGGTGCATTTGAACTCTGCTATAAGAACAGCCATGAGTACTGGGAGGGCTATTTTGAGATTTTATTATTCCCCTGGGGGGCAATATGTTTCTGCAGCAGTTAACGCATTGCTAAAGTTTGTATGCTGTAGGGGTCTGTATTAGTGTGGTAACAGATAATATGGATGGACCGTTACTAGATTTTTACACAATATCGTGGGAACTCTGAGATATATGGCAGGAATAGCTTTGAGAGCCAAGATTGGGGAGATGTCTTTTGAAGCAAAGGCTTGGTGGAGAGCATTTAATTTGAAAATTAGGATATTGAACTTGAATTTAGATTCAGGTCTTCTTGGATTAGTTAGGCTGGATCATCGTATCAGTGAGTGGGACAAATACTTGCAATTCAAATTATTATGTTTGGGATCACCTGTTATATGACAGAAACTATGAACAGCCATGAATTGAGTCAGTATGTTCTTCCATTCAGTTGGTATTCTTCCCCCAATAAAAATGCCTAACTGCCTGTTTGAATTGTCTCGTCCAAAGTATAGAAGGGCGTAGCGGGGAGGGCGGGGTATAAATTGAACTTATAAATAAATAAATAAATAAATAAATTTATGCTTGCACGACTGAACACCTTGCCTTTGGCGGTGTTGTTAAGAAAGTTTAATGGTATTCCATTAACAGATTCTGTGGATGTGGTACAAGCCAAATTGACTCTGTAGGTCACATTCTTTTGGATTGCCCTGAATTTTTGGATTTGAGAGCTGAATTGATTTTTCACTTGCTTAAGCAGGACTCTTGTCTTTTTAGAAGCTAAATCTTCTTGGCTACTACGAGATAAAAGACAAACAAGTAACTTTGCATGTGGCTAAATTTTTGGCAACTGTAGTGAAATCACTGTAGCTCAGTTAGTAAACCTTAGAGTTTCCCTTTTAGTGTGTGATGCTCGCTGTTTATTACTCTTGTTCTGATGACAGGAATTAAGAAGAAGAAAACAGTCTTTGTCAATTTGCAAAACACTTGTAGAAAGGAAGTTAAACAAGCCACCTGAGGCAGCATTCCAGACTCTGGGGCTGCAACTGAGAAGGCCCGCCAGTTGTGCAGGCTGCTTGACTTCTACATTTAGGCGGTATTTGAAGCAAGATCTCCCTTGTTCATCTTCAACTGCAGGGGGTTTCCTATGGGAGTAGATGCTTCCTGAGAGATCCAACTGTTTGGGATTAATAAGTCAAAGCCAGTACCCTGAATTGGGCCTGGAAATGTACTACTAGCCAATATCTCTGCTTTAGTGCAAGCGTGATGTGGTTTTGTCAATCTGCACTTAATAGTAGACTGACAGTGGATTTTTTTTTACTATCTGCAGTTTCTAAATTGTCTTCAATGGCAGCCCCATGCAGACCATATTCCAGGAATCTATTTTAGAGGTCACAAAGGCATACATGACAGTAGTTAACTCTCTTCTATTCAACATAGAGTGCAGAGGTTTATTATATAACCCTTCTTTCTTTTGTATATCTTGTTATTTAAAATTAGAATGAGAGAGAGAGAGAGAGAGAGAGAGAGAGAGAGAGAGAGAGAGAGAGCTTTCCTCTGAAACAAACATCAAGACTAACAAAGGAGTCACAAATTATGTACATGCCAGAACCAAATATTCATGTTTTAGCCATTTTTAAGGTTTTTTTATATCCTTGTAGTTTGCATTTTCTCCCTGCATCTCCTTTTGGACTAGAATATAGAGCAACAGCTGACATTTTGATCCACCCAGGTTATGCAGTAC